TGTAAGGAAACACCACAAAATGAAAGTAGATTGGAGTGATTTTTGATTCAGGCATATATGCGACAAAATGCAATATTTTTGGGTAAATATTTTTATTTTACTCACAATCATTTTGTTGGAAAAGGCATTTGTGAACAAGTACTACCAGGTAGACACCTAAAAAGCCCTGCAAGGTACTTCTAAATCACGTCGATGCACCGACCATACTGACTATTCCTCCAGATCTTGATACCACCAGCAACTGGCAGAAGTTGGAGCCTGGCGGTTGGATCAGTGACGAAAGCAAACAGCAGCAGTGAGCTCAGTTCCAAACCTTATGGTGCGTTTTCACCCGAGGGTTTCGATTTCGACCCCCGGCCGGTCCTTTTCTCCATCAGAGCGAACGCTCGAGAATACGTAGAGCTGAAACTAACTTGCTAGCAAAGACGGACAGGCAACAAATATCGCCATCAGTTGCTAGAGGATAAGCAGACCTTGAGTAGCAGTAAAACTCGGGGAACCAGAAGAATTGAAACGAAGCGGCATTATAATAAACTGGTGTGAATCACGCTACATATCGGTAGCCAAAACGGAAACAAAAACAGCTGCCGATCACTGGTGATTCGTAGGAGTAATCAACAACCGGCGAACATTTTGCCAAGCCGTCTGTTTGAGTCCAGTATCGTGAATGGATTGGCCACGGAACCCTGAATGATCTACTTTATTCAGGAAACGTGTGGTGTTACCGGCCGTCTGTTAGCGTACCTACCAGAAGATACAACACCGTATACTTAATTGTTGTAGGGGCGGTCCATGATGAAGCCAGTTCCACTATCGCCCTGTAGCAGGAACCATATACGAACCGTACTGCTATCAGTCATATATGGATTTTAGAAGATGAATACGTGAAAGAAATGCAAGTTTAGACACTTTTAACTAATTATCATCCATATTTTCCGAAGACAGTGGCACAAGGCGAAGCGCTGAGTTTGAGTATGCGTGTGTGGGCTTCAGACACCCAGAAAGTGTCAAACGAGCGTTCAGTATTTACCGGGATCAGTCACTTTGATAAGGTACAACCGATGCAGAAAGTCAGATTCGAACCAGAAGGACTAGACCTTAGACTGGCCTCAAACACGTAAGTTTCCCCACCGACCCAACACTTGTTCAACCACTCTAACACACTAAAATCCCTCGGCCGACACCCAACAGAGATTTTGCTTGACTTATCTGGTTGGTTCGCCTTTCGCCTTAAATCTCGACCAACCTCGGAACAAAGCTTTTGTGTCAAAAGCGAAACGTTGCCCAGCAATAAATCTATTGATTATCACCAAGCTTTTTCGAAAACGATTAGAAGAGTCGTCTTGAATATGAATGCGTCTGCCTGAAGGATGAAGCCTGTGTGAGCAAGCAGAGGGTAGGCGACTCCACTGTCCTACATTGGATACATGCATGCATGTAACATGCTGAATGATATCAAAACAGCAAGAAAACCAGGGAGGCCGGCAATCAACCATCCAAATCGTTGCCAGATAGAGACTAAGAATAAAAAAATTCGTTCAGCTGTAATACCCTTTCGGTGCTTAGCTGGCAGTCAACCGGAGGAGGTATGAGAGCTGAGATAATTCCAGGTTATCCAAGCATGAATATGGGAAGTCGAGAGGTAGAGATCGGGGTCGAACCACTGACCTTCCAGTCAGTAAATTCGAGCTCTAACCACTGAGGCACCTATTCCTCAATCGAGACTAAATCTTGAACGTCACACGCTATCTTAATACAATTATTTGGATAGTGAGAGCTGCAGTGTAGGTGGATAGTCCGAACGAGTAATTTCCGCACACGCAGTGTTGGTTTCTGCGCCCCGTCGGACACTGACTAACAGAATTCAAGCAGTTTAGGGTTTCTCATCAGCGGCAGAAGTTTTAGGCATGTTGCGGTTTTGTGTATATCTTCTGCTTAGCAGTCATGTACTACCAGCACGATCTGTAGCGATATTTCTTGAAACGCCCAACGATTCTTCAAAGATGGCACTGATCCGTTCAATTTCCGCCTGTTATTAGTGCACTGTTGATGATGGCCATAATACACTCCAGAAGGTATATGCACTAACAAAAGTTTTTAGTATAGTTGACAATGGTGGGATGCCACACGAATAAAAATAAATGAAATGCAAAGTAGGAGCAAGTCAAAAGAGGAGCTTATCTTCGGCGAGAGTATCTTGGTGAAAGTCCGGACGGTGGTAATGTGTTTTCTCCGCAGTGCGACTGCTACACGTGTTCCATAATTGTCTGTGGACTTGTGGAGAGTGATTGACTTCCTGCTCCCTGCGCACGCGCGAGTCTGTGTGTGCTGATTGTGTTCGGTTTCCCTATATGTACGTTCGTTTGCGTGTATGTGGGCGCGTCAGCACATGAGTAGTTGCCACGCTCAGGAGACGTTACGTTCGATGTCCGATGAGTCACCTCAATATGACGTGTTTGTGAGTACAAAAAAAGACAAGTCTCGTGACCCAGTGAGCGACCGTGAGCTGAGCAGTCAACTGAAGGGATAGGCTGCATATCTAAACCTTACGCCGAAATCTACACACCTGCTGAGGAACTGAATGCTGACGCGTTTCACTCTGCAGCTAAAAGTTGTAAAATCCACCTAGTCTGATTTCGCTTTTGGTATGGTGCTGTTTACATCACCGATTTTGAAACATCTGGTAACAAACGGTTTATAGGCTGGGCGAACAGACCACCAGCAACCTCATTCCAGCCGATGGTGCTGCTTGGAACAAAAACACCGACCAGGAAACCAGATTACATCCGAAAATTCCCTTCAAACGATATTTCGTTTCAAGCAGGCTTCAAAGTTTGGTTGGATAAGAGAGGTGTAACTACATCGATGTTTTTTTGCGGACAATGGGAGCATCTCGATGAGAAGTCGCGTGATAGTGTTCATACGAATGTTAACATATTTGAGCCGCTTTCGGCGGACCTCCGCACTGCACCCAGTCGAATTCATCAGGCTGCGCAGAAATCGTTTGTGTTATCCCAGTCAAGATCTCACATGGTGAAAATTGCTCAGTCAGGTCGCACACAGAAATTCCATGAATGTGAAATGGATCCACGAGTGTGTAGGTACTCGTTCTGTAACAACATTCGAGTAATTCGACCTCATAACTAAGCGTGCTCGTGAGAAGCAATGCACCATCAAAAACGAACACCATTCATGAGACGCAGAGGATCGTTGCCATGGTTTACGGACTGACATCTCATGCTTGAGCAAAACACATGCAATGATGGCTAATATTGGACAGTACATGGTTGAGGCTCGTTAGGCTGGAGGCACGGTTGGAGATTTATCTTATATACTACTGAGACCATTTTACCAAAAACCAAAACGCCCCATTAAACTGATGGCAGCTACACGAGTTTGGCACCCAACGTTATTTGATCGGTAGACGATGAAAACGTATTTAAAAGTTTGCTTTCCAAGATAAATTTACACTGGTGTCAATCCATCGACGGCTACTCATGTAACTCCATTCTGTCCGAATGCTGAAAGACTCGATCGATTTTATGGATACGAGTGTCACGGTGGATACTACTGACTGGCTGTGCAAAATACCATGGTGAATCTTGTGACTAGGTAAACGGGACACGACACATTGTTGGGCGGGACATGTAAAAGATTTTGGGAAAACGATTTTGGGGGTGGGTAAACTTGGCATCGGCGATGTTGTTTTTCGTTTCGAAAAAGCACGCTCACTTTCGGTGGAGCAGTTGAGACGCCCAACAAATGCGAGGCTTGGTGTTCAAGGCTGTTCCCCTTCCGTCTATGGAGGGAAGGGTTACCTGGTCGGCTTTGATTTTTCACATCACCCAGGTAATTGACTGAAATGAAATTGTACGGACGGATAGCCGGTCATACGTTAAGATCAACCATCACTGTTTAGTCCGTTCTTAGCGCATGTGATCAGTTATGTACAGTGAATTTCTGAGCGTACACCTCGAGACAATCTAATCAGACCGACTTCGAGAACCAACAACCACGGTATGATATGGTGACAAGTTCTGCAGGCAGACGGAAATCGAGGAACGAAGCACGTGTTTAGAAACGAAAAATCCAGGATGTCGTGATATCCGGGACGACATAGGTTCTCCAACCGCCTCCAAGACCGCTAGTGAAGCAGAAATGAGGCCACGAGTCCAAGTGGGCCATCAATTCAGGCGACGAAGGAAAGTACGTCGCGAATGGTCACTCGAAGTTCAACCCTGAATAAAAAGCCGTCAGGTTTGATGGATAAACTCACATCTCATCCGGTAAGGGCCCCCTATGTCCCAGATACTCTCCAGAGGGGAAACGTAAGCAGGAATGTTCTTTCATTTTAGTAGTTTCTGTCCATGGACGGTTCTGCAGTCTACTTTCTTAGAATCGTAACATTTATCTTGTGATAATCCGGGAAAGGCAACCAGCACGTTTCGTGAATTTGGGAGACATGCACAGAAACATCGGACAGGTCATGTGATTCCACTTATTTTGCACCTTTAAGCGTCCAGCTGACAGCCTTAATTGTTGATTAGTAAACTTTACCTATTGGACACAACACTGTTAGTCCGACGCGGTTTTTGTGAGGTAAGCTCACGGACTATTTGAGAGGTGTTCTGGCTAAACCAAAGGAGGAACGCTTTGGGTTCAGTGATCAACAGCTTGACAGCGTGGGTCATTCATAGAGTCTCTAGGTCTTGGCAACCAACCTCCGGCGCTGCAGATTTAAAGCGTTCGCTTCACTCAATTAGGCAAACTCGGAGAGACAACCAGAGTGTCAGGAAGCGAATATATTTCTTTTGCTCAAAGGAGCGCGTTGTACAAGAATAAAATCATTGAACAAATTACTCAACAGATCATCATGAAGAGAGAAATTATCAACTATTCCGCTGATTCAGTTAAAAAAACTGGTCACGTCTTGGAACCAGTGTTCCTGGGGATTGATCACACCCAAGGTGTCTTCCAGATGAGGACAGCAAATCGTCCCAAACAGAAGTGGAACATATATCCCGGACAGTAGCTAAACCAAGCCAGTTGTTGGTTAATCGAAACCACAATGTGCCAGGTCCGACCATAACGCTGTTCCAAGTACTGTCTAAGCTTCTGGGCTGATTCGTCCAGGAGTTGCGCATCCACATTCGTTGCACGCCCTGCTTCACGAAGGTCATCTAAGAACATTTGCAAGATTTTCACTTTGATTTCCTGGTCTATATCATCGTGAACAATTTCCAAGTCCGAAGGAGTCAAAGCTTCGATTAGTTCCAGTGTTCGCCTTCTTCGAAATTCACGCCTGGTTGCAGAAGAGCAAAGGTACATGATCTCACATTCAGCTGGTGGTTCTAGACCTAGATTTATCATTAGGATTGGTGTATTTGTGAACGAAATCAGACTGTGAACAAGGGCAATTAGTGAAAAATATGCCGTGAGGCTCTAAGAAATGGAATCTAGGTTGACAGAGTGTTTGCGCACAACAGTCGTGGGTGTAGGCAATTCGAAGCCTCACGATCTCTTGACTAACAGCAAAGTTTTAGATCAACCGGGTCCAAGGAACTGAGCTGCATAAGAAGTAGCAATAAACCCCGCTCACAGTGTATAGACGAAACACAATGCCAAACAAATATGACGAGGTCTGGGGCAGCATATTCAGTTGAAAACATAATATATGCGCAAAAAAGTGAATTTCAAATTAGCACACCACAAGCACCTGATCTCGCGCCTATAAATCTAATCTATCTATCTATCTATGTATGTATGTATGTATGTATGTATGTATGTATGTATGTATGTATGTATGTATGTATGTATGTATGTATGTATGTATGTATGTATGTATGTATGTATGTATGTATGTATGTATGTATGTATGTATGTATGTATGTATGTATGTATGTATGTATGTATGTATGTATGTATGTATGTATGTATGTATGTATGTATGTATGTATGTATGTATGTATGTATGTATGTATGTATGTATGTATGTATGTATGTATGTATGTATGTATGTATGTATGTATGTATGTATGTATGTATGTATGTATGTATGTATGTATGTATGTATGTATGTATGTATGTATGTATGTATGTATGTATGTATGTATGTATGTATGTATG